CCTGCAGCCCAGTGCTCCCTGCAGCTTTTGGCAAACTGACAATTCCAAGATAGTATTTATTTATTTTGACTTCTGTTAGATGGCTTCTGCTGCTGAGAAAAAAAACAAAACAAAACAAACAAACCAACCTATTTCAGCTCCAGTTTGGAGATACACTTTATGGCTTGGTACCAACAGCTGTCACTGGCCCCACTGCTGGCACAGCTCCAGTGCTTAGCTGACACAAAATACAGTTTATTTAGTTGTCACACCAGTGAATGCCAAGCAAACATCACTGTTCCTCAGATCTGACAGCATCACAGCAGGCATGACTGCCCAGAACAGGTATTTAGTTATCCACCCGTGGCTCTACTTTGGGAGCCACTCATGGGTTTTCAGTTCTAATGTGAAGTTATTAGCTGTCCACTCATGAAAGGAGATAATAAATCAGCATTCACCCCTATTTTTGGAAGATAAAATGATGTAGCCTTAACAGAAAAGCGTTATCCTGCATACTGTGTATTTTCCAAACCAGAGGTAGTGCCTAAAAAGTTTATTCCAGCTATTGTGATACTCAGGGCCTTGCTTATTGTACGTGAAGTCATGTCCACAGAGTTCCTCTGGCACCGTTGCGCTGTGCTGACACTGTCCTTGGTTCACACTGAAATGTTGTCTTGTTTACTGTTTGTCACAATTAAAGAATGATTTTACTGTGCACAGGACAGCTCTCGTTCTTGCAGCACACACAGGGTGTGTGTCCTGCCCTCCTGCCCTGGGATGCTGCTCTGGTTTTACAAAAGCCCCAAAGCTGAACTGGTCACCTCAGGACGCAGAAGCTGGGGTTCCCCGGGTGCTGAGCCCTCCAGAACCGAGGCACCGCTGCAAACCACGCCTGCAGCCCTGGCTGGTGCTAGAAGTTGTGTTCTCCAGGAAAGCAGCAGCAATTGAAATGCAAATCCAGAGCAGAGGAAGGAAACAGCACTGCAGGCAAGGCTGCTGGAGCCCAGCCACCGTGCTCACTGCAGCTGAGAGCCCAAGTGAAACACCCCAAAGGAACCCCCTGCACTCCCAGAACCTCCTGTGGTGATGCAAAACTACTTGAAAGTTTCTCTTTCTCAGAAAAGTTCCTCATTTAAACACTCTCAGGTCACTGGGTTGAAAACAGCTGATGCATTCACGAGTTTGCCTTCCAGTGCTCCTCACAGAGCTACACCTGAATCAATCAGCTTGAACCAAAACCATGCCCTGAGGCCAACAGTCTAATGTATAACTTAATCCTAACTTTTTATGCCTCTAAACAAACAAAAAAAAGAGCAGACATTTTAAACTTTTCAGAGTGGTATTTTATGTAACATCATTTGCCTACAAGTATCTCACTGGGAAGGCACAGATCACCAAGTTACAACTGGCTGACAAACAGCTCTAGCCCCCAAAAATCTCTCTTATATTTGGACACAAAGATTAAAAAGAAAAAGAAAATCATCATCATCATAACAGAAATAGGCAAATAAATAAATAGGCCAAAAAAACCTATTAAAAAAAAAAACCTCCAGGAGAACAAATTACACAGATGAATTAAAGCTCTAAAGAATATTCCTAATCAGAGGAAATGTTCCAGTCCACACACAGATTCCTTAAGGCATTCTCAACATCTTAATCCTACTGAGTTCAGCCAAATGCAGAAACCTCAGCCTAGGTCAGGTGTCAATTCTGCAAAGACTCCTGAAAGAGGGTGAGGAAAATTCAGCTGCAAGTTTTCCACCTGAGCTTTTCCAGTCACTGCAAGGGAAAAGGTCTCACTGGTGCAAAAGTGAAACTGCAGCTGCTGGAGTTGAAACCATGTTGCTTAATTTACCCTATAATCACAGTTAATTACATAGGAAAGTGTTGCCTTTATAAACACTGCAAGTCTAGACAGAGATGATAAAAGATTTACTGGCCACTGACCAAAAAGGAAATGCAGGCACTCACCTTGATGTAAGTGTTCTGAATTTCTACCAGTTCTTCCCCAAGTGGAACTACAATTTTTTCCACTTGTCTCTCGTGAGAATAAGGCTGAATTTCTGGAGAATCTTCAGCACACACCTCTATCTGAGCTATCAGCAAGTTGGAGATAACTTGTTGCACAGCCTGGTAGAGAAGCCACAAAAACAAAGTAACTATTACTGTATTTTAGCAGGGGTTACATAAAATTGTAAGGAAAAGGCACCCAGAAAGGTCCGGAAACAGAATTCCAGACTGGTTTGGATTGGGAAGGAACCTTAAATCCAATCCCATCCCCCCCTGCCATGGCAGGGACAGCTCCCACTGTCCCAATGTCCAGCCCCAATGTCCAGCCTGGCCTTGGGCACTGCCAGGGATCCAGGGGCAGCCACAGCTGCTCTGGCAATTCCAGCCCTGCTCCCCTCACCAATAAATAATTTATGATTCATAGCATGGGAAACACCGAAACTTATCAAGTAATGGATTGTAAATATCAGTCTTGATGTGGAATTCCTTTTTCAGAGGTTTCAGGCAAACAAACAGAGGTTCCACTGAACCCTGATTATTTAAATCATACTTTAAAGGTAGCTTTGGCTCACCTTGGTGTCACTGCCTGGGGTGGCACTCAGGGCCAGGACTCGGAATTGATTCGTGTATTTGCTCAGCTCCCTCACCACCTAAGAGCAGGAAAGCTTCATTAATATCCTTAAAGAGGATTATTTCCTTGTACAAACTACATCAATGAAAATACCCTCTAAGTAGGAAAGGCTTAACAAAACACTCTAAAAATACTGAATCACAGAATGGTTTGGGTTGGAAGGGACCTTAAATCCCATCCCATCCCACACCTCCCACTGTCCCAGGCTGTTCCCAACCCCAGTGTCCAGCCTGGCTTTGGGCACTGCCAGGGATCCAGGGCCATCCTGGAAATGCACCAAGAACAAGCTGGGAAAATAATGAAATTACTTCTCACTTGATTTAACACAAGTATTGACAGCCCCACTAACTCAGGTGAGCTGCCAAAAAGTGCCTCTGAAGAAAAGCTCTTAAAAAATGTAATTCATGGTTAATTAACCCTATGTAATCTGAACTCCACAAATATCCAGGAAATTTCTTCAGTGTATCAAAGCAACTTCTTAGGTCACCTATTCCTCTCAGGAGATTAACCCATGATAATGCAACAAAGCCTTGGCTAATCAACACAAACTCCAAATTTAAAAAGAAAACTTGAACTGACTTGTCTTTACTAAAGAACCTTAAGAAAAAAACTGGTTTTTTAACACTGCCCAGCCAAAAATATTTTTAAACCAAAATTACAATTTAATGGAGGCATTGAAAGAAATCCCTGACATGTATCACTAATAGACAAGGCAGAGGCAACACACAGGAGTGTTGGATCTGTTTCAAAGTTGAGGCCCTCAGGGACAATCTCCCCTCAGCAATGACAGCGATGCTTTATAGAGACCGTGTGAGCAATGCTGGGGAAGGGTTTGGAAACTGGGGGAGAAGAGCAGGGTGGCTCCAGCCCTACCTGGCAGTAGGCATGATTGCCAAGGGCTTTGTGGGCTTCATCAATAACCAAACATTTGATGTCCACAGCAGGACAGGTCCCACGAGAGAGGTCATTGACCATGATCTGAGGTGTGAGGAAAAAGACTCTCTTGGTATTCCACAGCTCCCGCCGGCCCAGAGCCTGCGTTCCTCCTGGAAAACAAAGGAGCAGCATTAGGGAACCGTTCTGCTGAGAACAAGGTATGGCCCATGACCTGAGAGTGACAGGGCTGGCAGACACATAAAATCATGGAATGGTTTGGGTTGGAAAGGGACCTTAAATCCCATGGCAGCCCTGCCACGGCAGGGACATCTCCCACTGTCCCAGTGTCCAGCCCGGGATCCAGGGACAGCCGCTGGACACCTCTGCAGGGCCTGCCCTCCCTCACTGAATACAACAAAATTAAAAAATTAAATTCAGAACCATGGAAATGAAGGCTGGGAAGCTCAAGATGCCTCATAGCTGCTCACTGCCCTAAACATCATTTAAAACACCTCCGGGAAAGGTCTGGGCTTAAAAACAAGTCATGGGTTCAGTCATTAAGGCTGCTGCCACGGTGAGGAATAAACTGCAGCTCCGGGGGGCTGCAAAAACTTCACAGAAAGGGGAAAGGAAAGTGACGAGGAAAGTGACGAGGAGGGAAGGAAGCGGCTATAAAACGGATTAAAAGAGTCATTATTCTTTGGCTTCAGCATCACGCAGAGCGCTCCGTGTGGGGCACGCTGGGGCCCACAGGGCTGCAGCCCAGCGCTTCACCCTTTACACAGGTGACCTGGGGTTTTAACCACCGCGAAAGCAGCAGTTTTAACCGCGAAAGCAGCAGTCAGCCCTTCAAACAGCTCTCAGTGTTCCTGTGGCTGTGCACACCGGCTGCAGCCGTACCTGTCATCTCCGCCATGTCCCGCCACGGGATGCCCATGACGCGGCCGCACGCCTCCATCTGCTGCGCCACCAGCGGCTTGGTGGGGGCGAGGAACAGCACCTTCCCCGAGGGGAACCAGCGGTAGAAGTTGTACATGACCACGGCGGCCACGAAAGTCTTGCCCAGCCCCGTGGGCAGGCACACGAGCGTGTTGGCCAGCAGCGCGGCGCCGGCCATGCGCTCCTGGTAGGGCCGCACGGGCAGGTTGGTGGGGTAGATCCAGATGGCCCCCGCCGCCTCGCTGAAGCCCCGCAGCGGGCCGGGGTCGGCGGCGGCCGCGGCCGCCAGCAGCAGCTCGTCATCGCTGTCACCGCCCGCGTCCCTGCGCTCGGCTTCGCTGCGGGGCCCCCGCCACAACTGCGGCAAAGTGCTCTGCCGGCCGCCGCTCATCCTGCCCCGCCAGCCGCCATCTTAGCCCTGCCGCGCCGCCGCCGCTTGAAATCGCCGCCGAGAGGGACGGGGAGCCGCCTCCCGGCCCTCCCCTCCTCCCCCGGCCCTCCCCTCCTCCCCCGGCCGCCTCACGGCTCTCCCCGAGCCCGAGGCAAATCCCGCCGCTGCCGCCGCTCCCCGCGCTCAGGGCGGGCCCCGAGGCGGCGCCATCTTGTCCCTCCCTCGGCGCCCGTCCCCGAAATCCCCCCGGCGGCCCCGCCGAGGGTGAAGGGGAGGGTCGGGACGCCGCCTTCGGAGCCTCCCCTTCTCCCCCGGCCGTGTCCCGGCCCGCCCCTTCTCGCTGCCGGGCGGCTCCCAGCCCTCCTCTCCGGAGGAGGAGCGGGAGGTGGGTGGGAAAATGGCGGCGGCCGCGGGCCCGGCGCAGCCCTGGAGCGCCGAGGAGCTGCGGAGCGAGGCGCTGGCCAAGAAGGAGATCATCAAATTCCTGCAGGAGCACGCGGCGCAGGCGGTAATTTCGGGGGATAATCAATGATTTGGAGTCGTGGGGGCGAGGTTTGGCGTTTCTTTTTGTTTCCCTGAACGTCTCGCACGCGTGTCCCGCAGTTCCTGGCGGAGCACAAGCTGCTGGGGCAGGTGAAGAACGTGGCGAAGACGGCGAACAAGGAGCAGCTGATCGCGGCTTACACTCAGCTCTTCCACACGCAGGTGAGGGGCTGGGGCCGGGCAGGGCTGCGGGGAGGGATGGAGGGATGGATGGATGGATGCGGCTCCTCATCCTTCCTCATCCTCCCCTCGCAGCGCTTCAAGGGCACGGACGGCGCCGAGAAGGCGGCGGAGAAGGCGAAGCCGGCCAAGGCGGAGGAGGCCAAGGGGAAGGCGGTGAAGGCTGAGGAGGCTGCGGAGGAGGTTGGTGCCATGTCCTCAACTCGCGTTTTTCGCCTGGAAAACCAAAGTATCCCGGTCACTTGTCCCGGGGTGAGGGTTAGGGGGATATCGGGGAAAGGTTCTTCCCCCAGAGGGTGGAATGAGCTCTGGAAAAGCTCCCCAGGGAATGGGCACGGCCCCGAGGCTGCCGGAGCTCCAGGAGCGTTTGGGCAGCGCTGCCAGGGATGCCCAGGCTGGGATTGTCGGGGGGTCTGGGTAGGGACAGGACTCCACGATCCTTGTGGGTCCCTTCCAGCTCAAGAGATTGTGTGATTCTAAGTCTTCAAAACCTGGTTACAGCAAAAAATCTGGTGTTTATGCCCCACCTTAGCCTGAAGCTGCATTTTCCCCAAATGTTGCAGCCTTGCAGTAACATGAACACTCACTAACAGTGTCTCCTCTGATACCTTAAACTCAGCAGTTGTTCTTGCATATCTGAGGCTATTTAACCCACCAGTCATAACTCTCTTTTTATCACCTCAGGGGCCACCAAAGTACACAAAATCCATTTTAAAGAAGGGCGATAAAACCAACTTCCCAAAGAAAGGAGACACTGTCCACTGCTGGTACACAGGAAAGCTGCAGGATGGGACAGTCTTCGATACCAATATTCAGTCAAGTAAGGTTATGGACATAAAGATGTGCAGATAAACTGCTGGGGTTGGTTGCAAATGCTCCTACAGGGAATTACCTGGGCTCCTCCAGCAGATGTGGGCAGGGGTTTGTGTGTGGGAGCGTTCCTGACAAACAGCTTTATCATGGTGCTGCTGAGCCTGGTGCCCTGCAGTGGATCCTGATTTTCCATGAGGTAGCAAGGACAGTATTTTAGGACTGGCTGGTGTCAAGTGACATGGCTGCATCCTGCCAGCCCTGGCTTCTGGCATTCCAGGCCCCGGGGAATGTGGAATGCAGGGAGTCAGTCCAGAGGGGAGATAGTGCCTAAGGAACTCTGACACCAGCAGCGCCCTGGTTTTCTGTAAATAAACACATCTTGGGCCCTTTCCGTGGTAAATCTTTAAAATGGAGGCACTGGAATGAGAGGGATTTAAATACTCTGGTGTGGATATTCCCTGCTGGTGCTTTTGTGACAGATCAGAGGGTTTAGGGGTATGAAATTGTGCAATACTGGAAAGGTTTTCCCAGCAGTGATGTCCTGCACTGAGGAACAGTGTCTATAATTCCTCATGCTTGTGTGTTCCTTGTTGACTTTTCTTGGTTCCTTAATATGCCCATGACTTGTGCAGTCAACTTGAGTAATTCAGGAATGAGTCTTTGGGGGTTGAAAGATGCTTTGATGCAGCTTGAACATTTAATGATGCTTTTATTGCACAGTGTTAGTATTTCCCCTGAAAATCTGATATTGGGCTAAAAATAATGTTAGAAGAACAGCTATTTATATAAGGCATGATTGTAATGACAGTTTTCTACAGAAGTGTGGAGCGTGCTGCTGTGGTGTTGAGGCAAATGAACATAAAACTCTTTTCCAGGTTCAAAGAAGAAAAAAGCAGCCAAGCCCTTGAGTTTCAAAGTTGGCGTAGGAAAAGTGATCCGAGGTGTAAGTAAAGCCTTCAGGGCTCCCTGTGAGTCCCCAGGCAGTTTCATTCTGTGATTTATGACCGGGCTGCAGTTTTTGGGGTCTGTTTCTCATGGAGGCAGACTGGGGATTACTCTGGGAGGATGGAACGTTCATCCTTAGGGTCATTCCCTCTCCAGGCAGTGCAGAGAACACAGGCTCTGCTCCCTGGGGTCAGCCCAGCCTCGGGCTCTTGTCAGTCTCTCTCAGCAGCCGAGGCTGATGGGATCCCGGGGCTCCTCCCATCCCTGTTTGCATTCCCTGGGCTTTTCTCTTTCCATGGGGAAATTCCTGCTGCTGTCCACCCTGAGCCTCCCCTGGCCCAGCCTGAGGCCGTTCCCTCTCCTCCTGTCCCTGTTCCCTGGCAGCAGAGCCCGACCCCCCCGGCTGTCCCCTCCTGCCAGGGACTTGTGCAGAGCCACAAGGGCCCCCTGAGCCTCCTTTGCTCCAGGCTGAGCAGGAGAAATTCCTGATGTGGGATGGGATTGGAGCTGGGAAGGGGCTGTGGCTGTGGCCCAGGTTTATCCCAGTGCTTATCCCGGTTTGTGGGTGCCAGAGCCTTCCCTCAACAGGGACACAGCACCAAGCCCTGGGCACTCCCTGGGAAGGGAATACTGGAGCTGGGAATGCTGATGGAATGCGTGTTCCCATTGCTCTCCGGTACCATCCCAGCACAGGAGCAGGGATCTGCCCTGTGGGACTGGTGTGGGAGCAGGGAACACCCCCTGGAGCGCTCCACGGGGCTGGGGAGGATGCCTGGGGCTGTGGGTATTCCTGGGAGCCAGAGGAAAAGCTGGGAAGTGCAGAGGCTGCTGTGGCAGCACTGCCTGGAGCTGCTGCTGTCGTTGCAGTGGGACGAGGCCCTGCTGACCATGAGCAAAGGAGAGAAGGCCCAGCTGGAGATCGAGCCCGAGTGGGCCTACGGCAAGAAGGGGCAGCCCGATGCCAAGTATCCTTCCATGACCTCTGACTCCTGAGGGAGCCTGGGAATGCCGGGGGCAAGGAGCTGCTTTATGGACGGGAATACAACAGGGGCTCCACCTGTCACCCACAGCAGGCTCAGGACATTCCCACCCCGAGTTCAGGGCACTTCCTGGGGCTGCAACTGCTCTTTTCTTTTGGAGAACTCGTGCAGGGGGAACCTGCTGCTCTTTTCCACCTGTATTTTTATCCCAGTGCTTCCAAGTGCTTCTGCCTGATGGGGATCCTAAGCAGGAGCAGGGACAGTTACATCAGCTCTGGGACACAGCTGAAGTAGGGGCTGGAGGAGTCATCCCGTGGTGGTTTATGCAGCCCCATTTCCTTTTTCCAGCCCTTCTGGAGGAGGGCAGGGGATTGTTCTGTGCTGGAATCCTGTGATCTGAAGGGCTGCCTGGACACCTCTCCCCTGTGACAGGGGGACAGCGTGGCCTCTGGGAGGATGGAACATTCATCCTCAGAGTCATTCCCTCTCCAGGGAATGCAGCCAGGGCAGTGAGTGAGGAACAGGGTGTGCTAATGAAGGTGGCCCTGGAGCTGGCTCCCCACAGCTCCCGCTGGATCCGGGGTGTCCAGCTGGGTCAGGATCAGCCAGGGAGACAGGAGAGGCTGGGGAGCAGCTGGGGACTCCCTGCCCAGGGAGGGGACACTGCAGGGGCTGCTTCAGCTTCCTTAACATTTGCCAACAGGATCCCACCAAACGCAAAACTCTTCTTTGAGGTGGAGCTGGTGGATATTGAGTGAAGAATTCCCTGAGCTGCTGGGAATGCGCTTCTGCCAGAGCTTCCTGCTGGGTTGTTGTAACTCCTGGCTCCGGTGACAGCGGTGCCTTTGTGGAGATGAGTGCTGAGTGTTGTCCCTGCCCCGCTGCTGTAGTGACAGCCCCACCACTAAAGCAGAGTTTGTACCTGCCAGTGCCTCCCTTCTTTGTGTCTGTGCTCCTCTCGCTGAGCAGCAGGGCCCCACACCCAGCCAGGGCTCCTTCCCTCCTCTGGAGCCCAATCCCACACAATTCCCACTCCATTTATTTGACAGCAGCTGTGCTCGCAGAGATCCGGGTGTTCCACAGGTGTCCCTGTGCCACAGCCCCTCCTGTGAGCACCAGAGCTCAGCTCAGGCATTCTGTTCTCCCTCCTGGCTCGAGTGAGGCAGTTCCAAGAAAGCTCAGAGCACTACTGAATTCCTCGCTTTTATTACAAAAATGGGAATGATCACTTTGATCAAAATGAAAAAAGTTTTGCTCACACCGTGTACATGAAAAACTCTAAATACAAAACTCATCCCAAACACAGTTTGTGCTTTTAAAAAAGAACGAAGGTGGTTTAATCCCTGCCCCTCCCACACTACAGAACCCGTGGGGCAGCTCTGCAAGGCCCCCAGTCCCAACAGCCCGGGCCTGGAACGGCTCCCTGACAGCTGGGCCAGGAGCAGCACAAGCCCTGGCTCCAGCCCTGGGCCAAAACCAACCCAAAACCCCACAGCTTTGCCCACTCTATTATGGAATCAAGAGACCGACGAGAATTCTTCTGATACTCCATAAATTAGTGCAGGGAATTAAAAAATTCATTTATGGTAAATGAGAATTGTACAGAGACCATTTATCAGTTACCAGCACACGAATCTTGCTTCACACATACCCCGTGAGCAGCAGCTCGGTTCACATGCAGAGGACCAAAAGCAGGTGGCACAACAGTTCCTTCACAGCCCAAAATTAGAAAAATATAATTATTTTTTTTTTTTTAATTCCATCTTTGTTGAAACTGCAGCACAGTGAACTCCACTCCCTCCGGGGATCAGGTTGTGTGGTAATACTGTCCGTAATTCCAGGCGTTCTGGTAGTTGTACTGGAACAAACACAGCAGCAGCATCAGCCAGGATGTCCCTGCTGCACACAGAGCTCCCCCAGCCCCTGTGCCCAGCACAGCCCCCCTGGGATGCAGGCCAGCGGTGCCATTCCCTCTGGAACAGCCTGGGGAAGGCAGGCAGGGGTGGAGGTACCGTGCTGCCACAGGACAGATCCGCGTCACAAAGTCACAAAATCAAAATATCCCCACCTGGGAGGGACCCCCAGGGATCATCCCAGCCCCTCCCAGACCCCCCAACAATGCCAGCCTGGGCATCCCTGGCAGCGCTGCCCAAACGCTCCTGGAGCTCCGGCAGCCTCGGGGCCGTGCCCATTCCCTGGGGAGCTTTTCCAGAGCTCATTCCACCCTCTGGGGGAAGAACCTTCCCTGATCTCCAGCCTGAGCCCCATCCCTGGCCCAGCTCCAAGGCTGCCATTCCTGCAGTGCTGTGTGAGGCTCAGGGCATTGCTCCTGGCCCAGCACTGGGCAGTCTGTGCTGGATGAGACTCCTGGCACTGCCTGACTTTGGGGAGAATTCCCAACCTGGCTGCAGGCAGTCCCAAGGGCTCCCCAGGGGTTGGGCCCCAGTGGTACCACGGCTCTCCCAGCTCTGGGGGCTCTGCACAGTCTAATCAACGCTTTTCATAAAACCACTTCAGAAGCTCCATGGATTTAAAAGACACGTGGCTGTGGCAGTAGGGACATGGGTCAGTGGTGACCTTGGCAGTGCTGGTGGAACAGCTGGACTGGATGGTCTTACAGGGCTTTTCCAACCTCAACAATTCTGTTCCAAGCTAGAATGCCCCAGAGGAAGAGCCCCAGAGGACAAGCTGATTTTGTTGGTGCTGTGTACCAGCAGAACCCACCCCAAGGCACTGCAGGAATTACTGCCTGGAGACAGTCACTGCCAGGCACACGGGAAAGGGGCTGACCCCAAAGCCAGTCTGGGCAAAACAGTTCCACACACACCTGGCCCTGCTGCCCTCCCCATCCCCTCCCTGTGTGACAGGACAGCCACCAAAGCGCTCCTGGCTCCACGTAACGCGTGAGGAGCACGCCCAGGAGGGATCAACACCCCACAGAGTCGAGTTTTCCTCCCCAGGAGCTGCAAGTGTGCAGGCTGGCCCGGGGCACCGTACCTGGTACCAGGCGTTGTAGTTGTAGGCGGCCTGGTTGACCTGCATGTCCCCGTCCATGAGCTGCGCCGCCGCCAGCCCCGCGTCCTCCGTCAGCAGCTTCTTCTCGTCCGGCTCCTCCGAGCTGCAAGGGAACAGAGCCTTGTTCTGGCACCCTGGAACACTGCATCAGCCTCAGCTGTGCTCAGCTGGCTGCCCCGGCCCAGCGGGGTGAGGGAACTGGGCTCAGGGAAGGGCAGCTGGTGCTGTGCTCCAGAGCAGGCTGGGTTTAAAGCAAAGCAAAGGCTCTAAGTTCCTGCTCAGAGACTGAGTTATTTTACCAGCACTGTTTGGCTCAACAACTCAAAAACTTATTTTCCAAAAATGTTTCCATCCCTGGAAGCATCCAAGGCCAGGATGGATGGAGTTCTGAGCAACCTATAGAAGGTGTCCCTGTCCATGGCAGGTTTTAGGGCTTTCCAATGCAAACAATTCTGTGAATATTTAAGGCAGCAGAGCTCTATTTAGCACACACTTTAAAGGACTAAAATGAAGTGATTCTATCCTCTCATCAGTGGGTTCAAAGCTGACAAAAGACTAAAGAACCCCCAGAGTGAGCTGCTGGGCTCAGTCCGTACCCGTTCTCCGCCCGCCGCTTCAGCGTCTCCTGCTCCTTCAGCAGCGCCTGGTGCTCGTCGTAGGCATCCAGGAGCCTGCAGAGAGCACAACCAGTCAGGCCTTGCCAGGATTCAAAACTCCTGAGCAATGCCCACTGCAAGCTCTAACACTACAGCAAACTGCAGTGCCACCAGTACTAATGAGTGACCCACCACCAGCAGGGGAAAGCCAACTCGGTGCCATTCACAACAGCTCCAGCTCCCAGCCCGCTGAGCTTCCCTCACACTTGATGCAGCTTTTATCAAGTTCCTTTATAAACAAGTTTTCTAGAAGTGATTTGTGATTCAGCTGCTCCTTCAGAGCCTGCTGGTGATGCTACCCACAGCAGCACAGAGATGTGGGAATCATTATTTGAACACTGGAAATTATTCCAGTCCCAAAGCAGCACCTACAGCCTTTCCCCATCCAGCAGGGAAGAACAAGGGTGGTTAATGCAGCACAGGAGAGTCCTGGCTAAAATTCCCACAGATATTGAAATACCCCCTCATCTGCAGCATCTCACAAAACCTGCAGCTTCTGACAGTGTGCTCTGGGTGAAGAGCTCCTCGTACTCATTCTGTGCTCTGGGATTATTTGGGAACTGCAAAATTCCTTGTGGTTGATCTGTCTCAGATCCCAAACTTGCACTGACTGGCTGCCATGCAGAGGCAGCAGAATTTAAGGAGGGTTATTGTTAAAAACACACAAAGCAGGAAAACTGACTTCTCATTAATCCTTCCGGGTTATTTAGCTGCAAAATGTAAATAAAAACAATAGACAATTAAGAAGAAAAACATATTTTGAGGCATTGAATTTAAAACTTGCATTTCTGGCGTGTCCTCCCACCTAAGTGCACCGTTGTTAACAGTGCTGAGCACTGAGAAATCCAAGCAGTGCAGTTCTGGAAACTCCCAGGGAACAGTCTCAAAGGACACCTGAGGCCTGTCCCATTCCCCTGGGGAGCCCCTCCCTTCACAGGGCTCAGCAAGGGGAAACCAACCACAGCAAAACCTGGCAGGGCAGCACAGCTCTGCTCACTCAGTGCTGGGCACTTCAGATAAAAAGGGGCAATTATCTGACAATCTATTCCTGTTTAACATCAGGAGGTCGGTTTAGAAGGGCAGCTGTTCCTTACAAAGAGCTGATGGCACAAAGGAAACGATTTTACAGAAGTCTCTGATCCCACCCTTTTCCCAGCACTCTCCCAGTGACCCCAGTCTGGCCGCTGCCCACAGGACATCTTACTTGTTCACATCAGACCCAAAATCTTCCAGGAATTCCACTTTTCTCTGTGAGAACGTGATCCTCATTTTGATGGACAAGGCCCCATGGATGGCCTTGTCAAAGCAGCTCAGGATGTTCTCCTCGTTCTGCTTGAGGTCACCACTGTACTCCATCTCCAGCAGGTTCAGGTACAGTTTGGTGTTTTCCTGTGCAGAACAGGCATTAGGAGGGGCACACCTGACCCTCACAGCAGGTATTTAACTCTGCTACACACCGCAATTCACCCCATAAATACAAACAACAGCCAATAAAGGGATTTTTTCCTCTCTCCCTGGGCTGGTTTGTGGCACAAACAGACCAGAAGTGACCAGCACCACAAACCCAGGTGCTGCACTTGGCTGGCAGCATCTGAGTGCCAGATATTCCTGTGCTGACACCAAACCACCACGCACTGCCCACACCAATAACACCGAACACAGCGAGAACGTTTAAGGTACTAGAAAATTAAAATAGAGGTGCAAAGCACATTGTGCTTCTGATGGGAAAAGGGTGCAAACATCCAGATTCCCAGGCTGGGACCTTGGCAACGTCAGTTTAGAGGGACTGTTGTCTCCATGCAGTAATGGGACATTCCATGCAGTTACAACTCCTGTCATCACTGTTGCCATGTTTTACAAAAGGCTTCAGAAAGAGAGAAAGACACCGGGGTGGTTTGAGTTTTGGGTAAGACAGCCAAGAGGGAACACATACTTTGTCCAGTTCTATGGCTTCTGACAGCACTTTTCTTGCCTTTGGCAGGTTTTTCTGCACTTTGAAGAGGTGCCGGGCGAGTTTGATGGCATAGAAGGAGGCTTCACTGATGGACTTGGCATTCCTGACAGCATCTTCCAGCAGCTGCTCCGCCTCCTCCATGTTGCCGTGCCGGCGCTCCAGGCTCACCCTGCGCAGGCGGATCATGGCCAGCCCCAGGATGCACTCCTCAAACGTCTTCAGGATCCTTCTGGCTTCGTCAATGTTGCCTAGAAGGGCAGGGAGACGCTTTAGGACAGGGCAGGTGGCAGAGCTCCCCCAGCAGAGCCCCCCGAGAGGCAGGGCTGCCCTTACCCTGCTGCTCCTCGAAGGCTGCCCACAGCATGTGCACCATGGGCTTCTTGGGCAGGTGGATGGTGCAGGCCCTGCTGTACACGTGCCTCACGCCCTCGATGCTGTGGTTCTCCATGTATTTGGCGTACTAGGGTTGGAAACAGAGCAGAGACCAGCCAGGTTAAAGCTTGTATTTGTCTCCAAGAACATGCCAGAACGATAAAATTCTTTTGTTTAAACCCATTCAGCACCTTTATGGAACCACTAGACTAGTTTCTGTAAGGAAGGACGTAGAGAGGCAACGCAGTTGGCAAATGCAGCAGTCAAATCTGGTTGCAAGCAGACCATCTCCTAATGCAACAGATATAGTTATAGATGAACAACGTTCCACAGGGTACAAGGGTTAGTCACCAGGTCAAGGTGTGCACCAGCAGAGCCGTGAGCTGCCTCCCTTACCTTGATCCAGAAGTCCTCATAGAGGGCACATGAAATGACACATCTCTCAAAGAGGACCACGACTCGCTCGTGAGTGCCATTCTCTATCTCAAACTCTAAGTACTCTTTCCAGTTTTTCAGCTGAATTTTCTCCAGAGGTTTTACATGAAAGTAAGGCCTCTTGATCTGCAAGAGTCACAGGATGCAACTGGTGATTACAAACACACCGCCACGGGGGTCCACACAACCAACAGCCACACAACCAATACTCAGTTCCTGCCATTTCAGTGATCAGGGCTCCAGTGACACCTCCTCATCTACTCAATCCAGGGTTATCCAGGTATGGATCAAGGGATTTACTCCAGTGACATTCCAGGCTAGAAACCACCTTCCCTAGAGAGCTTTTGGAGTGCAAGTGTTTCGAGCTGCTGGCAGAGGACCCAAGGCAGCCCAGTGTCAGTGACATTATGGACACACTGGACACTGCCCACATCCATCCACACAAGTGCTCACTGTGGGACACCCAGCCCACAAGTCCAACTCAGCATTTGGTTGAGAATCATGGCAAGGAAAGACAGAGGACTGAACTGGACTTCCTATCAAATATTTACATCAATCTGGTTATAGCAAGACCACAAATTTAGCTCCATCGTGGTGTTATTGATGGCTGCAAGAGGGGCTGGGTGGGACAGAGCTCAGCACAGAAAATTAAACATCGCTCTGTTCAAATTGAAATTCCTTTGTCTGCTATCTTGCCAGAGATCCTTTGCTTTCCCCTCACCATCTTTAACTGCATTTCATTATGTCTCTCCTGTGCTGCCATTTCCTCTCAGATCCAAATCCATACAAATGGATGAAGAACTTACAGTAAAATTAAGGAGAATCCAATTCTTCAAAGCCACCTGAAATTTAAAGCCAATCCCCGCTCCATGCTCCTCACTGACCCCTGGTGTGGAAGCCAACACTTTGTGGCCATTTTGCCCAGCTCACAGTCCCACTCCTGCTGAAAACAGCTGTGAGCCATGGCCAGCCCTGGGTGGGCTCTGTCCTTTAGAGCCACGCTGCCCCGTGCACGGCCAGCTCCTGCCAGCCCCTGCTGGACTAACTCTGCTAACGAGGCACTCTGCACACCCTGCTGCTAACCAGAGCACGCTGTGGCCAGCAGGGAGGGGACTCTCAGTTGCCCAATGCCCACAGCTGCAGTGCTCTCCCCAGTCCCACAGGTGTGCAGTTTTGGGTTTCCCAAGGCAGGAACCTGGGGTGCTCTGCTCCTCCTGCCAGGGTCACTGGCACAGAGCTCGCTGCTCCCCACGCTGCTTGGGAGCTCCTGGGCTGTGGGGACACCTGGCCCAGCGCAGCAAATCACCCAACCCACTCAAGCCCCAAAATCTGGCCCAGATGGGTAACACAATGGACTCTTTAGAATAAGAAGTAAATTTAAAACAAGGACCATGTTTGCCAGGAAGAAAAATATAAACACTGAGAATGAAAACCTCACATTGTTTTTTCAAACAGAATCCAACTTAACTCTACAGCAAAAGCTGTATATTTGCAGTGGTCAAAATATTAGTTTAATTAAGTACTTTTAACACATTATACATAGGACGTCCAAAACAAAAGTTACTTGATTAAGTGTGTAATGTTAAAATACAGAAGCACAGGAATTTTGTTCTCCTCTGAGCACAGGCTTACCTTTCAAAGGGAATCCCCTCCATCCCCTCATGCCTTTACACCACCCCAGGGCACGAGCAGCACTAACTCTCAGGACTCACTTAGCAAACATTACAGCACCTTGCCTCTCTCCAAACACTGCTCTGAGATCTTTACATCATCAGGTGCCAGGTGCCTCTTCACAAGAAAAACGGCAGAGAAATGAAACTGTTCCAACTCTGAGTCTCTGTTCAATCCCCCCACAGTAGTTTTAGTTAAGTTTCACAGAATTCCCAGCTCCCAGACCTGTTCCCAATCCACCTGCTCGTGTTGGTTCACACAAACCCCACTTACCGCTTCCTCAAACGTCCACCTCTTACTGACTTCATGCTCGTTGTGGTTAAATATCTCCTGATGGATCTCAATGATTCTGTGCCTCATGTTCTCTATCTCAGTGATTAGCTACAACAGAATAGAAAATAAACATATATAAATAAAATATATTAGAAAATATAACACAGGCAGACATGGTATCACCTTTCTAACTGCCTCCTGTGCCAGGGATGTGCGTGGATTCTCCCTGAGCAGCCAGGGCAGGGCTGGGACACTGCCTGATGGAGCCTTGGCCCTCAGCACACACAGCTGAACTGGTTTTTATCCCATGCTAAAGCTGATTTGAGATTAAGGACGGATTTGGATCCAAGTCAGCCCCAGTTTCAGTGTGTCTGTGTTTTCAGCATCAGCAGTTCCTTTGGACAGCTCCAGGCTTTCCTAGGCCTGTAACAGTCTGAACCTGCTCAGGCCACTGCTGATGAGGAGCTTTCTTAGACCACAGATCCCAATCTGCTGACCTGGAATAATTACTATTTGTTCCTAAGGTTTTGCACAACGCTTCTTTCATTTTCTAACTCATGTCTTTAACACCTCTGCCAGCACTGGAAGGGGCTGTCCTGTTACCACACGAGCCACAGGGCAGTGATGTCCAGGAGCTCTCTGGGCACAGCTCGAGTGGCTGCAGAGGAAGCCCTGCCCCAGAGAAGGACAGGGTGCCAGTGCCCACCCCATGCAGGGGCCTTGGTGGGGTCAGTGATTCCTCAGTGCTGCAGGGCACTGATGTGCAGGAGCTCTCTGGGCACAGCTCGAGTGGCTGCAGAGGGACAGGGAAGGACAGGGGTGGTACTCTGTGCCCACCCCGTGCAGGTACCTTGGCGGGGTCAGTGATGCCCTGAGAGCTCTGTGGGCACTGCCCAGCTCCAGCAGACTGAGCTGGCTGCAGAGGAAGCCCTGCCCCAGCCCCAGGGAAGGACAGGGGTGGTACTTTGTGCCCACCCCGTGCAGGTACCTTGGCGGGGTCGGTGATGTCCTCCGTGCCGCAGGGCAGCTCGTCCCCGTCCTCACCGCTGTGGCCGCTGGCGGCCGCCAGCTCCCGGCGCAGCTGCACAAACTGCTCCGTGGTCAGGAAATCTCGGGGCAGGTTGTTCTGGATGTGCTCTTTAAACCTAACAACAGCCACAAAGAGGCATTGCAAAGGGGTTGTTTCACGCTGCACTGCTGCCCAACGGGGCACAACCCGAAATCCCAGGGGCTTGTGCTTTGCTTTGTGGCTCCCACCCAAAACAGCCTCACCAGTGCCATGTCTCAGAGGGCAGCATGGCAGGCTGAAGAACCCTTGCCATGGAAAAGAGATGGCAAAGGACAAAATCAATTATAAAGGAAATACTTCATTTCCCACACTGAGAGATCTGTGGAAGTTTTGGGGAAGACTGTGCAATTTAACTAAGGGTGCTGCTCAAGTCTCCCTACCAATGCAGAATCCACCATCTGAAACTGAACCAGGATTCCTCTTCAGTCAGTTAAATTGGTGCTTCTCCACACATGGGCACTGCACAACTATTAAAGTCCAAAACTGCTCATTCTGATTTCTCAAAGACATCCTCTCTTCTTCCCCACACTTCCAAGGCCTGTCCTTACTACACAACAAAACCTCTGAATTTACTTAAAACCAAATTCCTCAAATGTGCATCAGTACTCAAAAACAATCAGTCCAACTGCCCAAGTAGAGAAGTAAATAACCACATAAAACTGTTCCAAATCTTGTGCTGAGTATTTCCACCCCTCACACGGCATTAACTCCCTGTTTTCCCTTTACCTCTGGAAGTGATGGCTGTAGAGCTGTGTTGGAATTCCCAGGATGCGGTCATAGATGGATGTAACTTCCCTTAGGTTTCCCTGGTCATTTTCCCAGTTTATATACATTTCCCAGAGTCTGTCAGAACGGAAATCTGTCCCAGCAGCCAGCACTGCGTGTTCATAGGCTCTGGAAAAGGAAATTGTTCTACACTGGTTTCTGGATTCTGGGACAGAACAAGGAAGGAAAGTCCTGACTCTTATTAAAGGTTATGAGCACCCTCATTTATTTGAAGCTAGACTTATATTAATTATTTACATTCTTCAAAGTGTTCAGATATCTGCAGCAAGGTGTCTGGAGATTCCAAAAGCTCACTCATTTTTTACCTCCAGCACTTCCACAATAGAACAAATAAAGGCAACAGCAAAAGCCGCTGGCCAGAACACAAGATATTAGAAAAATACATAACCTTTACCAACTTTTGTTTTGTACAGACTCCACACCCACCAGTGCAGCAGTGCAACACCTCAAACCTGTGCAGCAATTCTGCAGCTTGATTCAGATTCAATTCCAGTGTAATTAAGCCTTCTGATCAAACTTCAGTCCAACCCTTTAAGCAGGTCCACTGCCAGCCACAGCAAGCAGACAATCCTAGCCATACCCTGGAAACTCCAAGGAATTAAATTCCAAGATTCCAAATGCTGCACTAAGTATTTCTTAACATCCAGTCTGAAGTTCTCAAGCCACAACTTTTGCCCCTTGTATCCCACTGCGCCGTCTCCCCATTCTTACGGAATTTGGCTCCATCATCTCTTAATTTAAAAATCCTTGAAGTGACAGCGGGTTGTTATGAATTTTCCTCTTTTTAAAAACACAAGAACCTGATCCCGGTGGTGTGTATGGATATCAGGCTGCTCCCAACTCACCCCCGGATGGTACTGTTAGTTTCAGGATCAGCAGGGTCCAAGGTCTCCTTTAGGAAGTTTATATAATGTATCCAAAGATCAACACTAAGAGGAATTGCCTGAAGCCCTCGGCGATAGACCTATGAAGAGAACATGAACTGTACTTCAAATCCTTAATGGGGTCCTAAGAGAGAGGCAACACTGTGTTATCCGGTGAACCTTAGAAATACTAATTACTGGAATTTTGTTTAAATAATCTACCATTACCATTCGGGTGGAGGTTGGATAGAACATGGCAATGTTCTGATCTCCACGTGCAGAGTCTTGATCTTCAAAGCGCAGCGGTCCCTGCATTCTGACCAGGTTGTGTGGGCAGGCTTTGGGGTACAGACCATAGGGCACAGACCCATTAGAGCATCATTGACAGCGTCTGACCAAAAATGCAATAAGATGGAGCAATTGTGACCAGCAAACCAACTATATTGTTTTGAAAATGAGTAATAAATGGAAGTGACAGAAAAGCCCTGCCCTACTTGTTAAGCTGCAGTGTAATACAGAGGCTTGCACTGCAAAGCTTGACAAACTGTAGAGGTTTAACGCACCTGCCAACAAAGAGAGAGAACATTAGCTCCAAATGCCACAGCTGTGACACGTGCAAACACGTCCCTCGAGCCCTGGCCGTGCAGGGCAGGCACTGGCAGCCCAATGACTCGCAGTGGGACAGTCATTGTTGGCTTTGGGACTGGTGGCAGTGCTGGCCCCGGGCCCTACGTACCTCGTCTGACTGCTTGACGTTGTCGTGGCGCTTCTCCAGGTCTGCGTACTTCTTCCAGTACCCATAGCAGTAGGGGTAGTGTGAGAAAAACCTGTCAAAGGCTTTCCTGGCTGCTGGCAAGTGGTTCTGTGGGAAACACAGAGCGAGCACAATCAGTGCTTCCCTTAGGAACAACTTCAGGATATTTTAAATGCAATCATTAACACTGTGTTAGAAATGCCTGGAGTTATTTTGACACTGACACCCTGGGCTACTGGAAGGTGGCCCTGCACATGGCAACAGCTTTTAAAGGTCACTTCCAACCCAAACCATCCTGGCGTTTTATGATTAAATTACAACAGTGGCAAGGACAGCTGCCTTAAATCAGCATCGTGACAGCCTGATGGACATCCTACGTTTGCCACTGGAATTCCATGACTTTAGCTTTTCTTTGTGTTTATTTATTTCAGGGAGACGGAGGAGAAAGGGGCGGGTACTAACCTCCTGCTCTACGTACTGCAGTAGATAAACCCATCCCGTGAAATCCTGCGGATTGTCCTCTACTACTTTCCAAAACTTGTCAAAATCCGGAGGGAAGTCAGCCTCAAGATCTGTTGTCTGTAAGCTCTCAATGTTTGGAATTTCGCTCTCCTGCGTGTTGTCCTCGTTGAGGTCCGGGGAGCTGTCCGGGGACTGCTCCATCTCGGTGACACTCATGATCTCGGTGCTGAAGTCCATGTGCTGCTCCTCGGCCGCGCTCTCGGCGCCGGGCTCCGCACTCTCATTGCCCACAGTGGGCTGCTCCTCCTCCGTGCTCTCCGTGTTCTCCATGGCACCGCTGTGCGACTGGATCCTGCGGGGAACACCGGTGTTCAGCGCTCCTGTGCCACAGCTCGGCTGGGAGCCGCCAGCTCAGAGTGTGCCAGTGCTCCAGGGGTCCCTGTACTGCACCACAGCCCTGCTGGCATCTGCCTCGTGCATCAGCCTTGTTCAACAATAAAATATATCAACAGCTGTCACAGATTTTCACATCTGCACATACAAATCCTTGGGGGGGTTCTAAAAAACTGTCACAGGGAGCTACCGAGGTATAAAAGTGAATCAATACAGTTTTCCTGCAGGAGTCCAGTGGAAGTTTATTCCAAATAAAGAAATATGTTCAAATCCCATAGAAACATTCAGGCTGGAAAAGCTGCCTGGGACCATCAGGTCCAAGTTACTCCAGCAGTGCCACGGTCACCATGGACCCATGTCCCTTAATTCATTCAATTTTCCTACTTAGTACAAGTCAGTAAACGTTTTATGAAATAAACAAGTGTTAAAAGGTGCCCTCAACACCAGGCTAAAGCAAAGACAAGAATTACTGTCAGCACCAACTCAGTCCCCATTAGGGATGTCCAAACACACCCAGCAGCACCACAGGGCCACAGAAATGCTCTGGCTGCTCCTGACCTGCAGCCCCTCACTCCCACCCACACCCAGTGCCAGGTGCTTCCTCCTGCCCCTTGGGACAGACTCCTGCTTCCTCCCACTCCTCCTGTAATGTCCCTGCCAAGAGCCACAGCCCAGCCCTGCCGTGCCAGTGCCAGGCCAGCCTGACCTGGCTGGGTGCCACCGAGCCTCGGCTGATCCCGGCCTTCCCTCCCGGAGCAGGGACACTGAGCTGAGCCTCCTCCAAACCCCTGACAGCTCAGGGATCCCAGCACCCTGCAGGACACAACAGCTCCCAGCTGTGAGTCTGCCTGGGATGAAGGATGAAGAATAGTGTTGCACTGTCATCCTCACAGGCTGCACTGCCACTCCTGGTTCCTCCCGTTCTCCTCGGAGCAGGTGGCAAAGGCATTTGGGATTTAAAAGAAAAAGCAGAAGTCCCCACTCCAGAACTCTCCAGAGTCCTTTCACACTGAAAGCCTGAAGAGACAACCAGACCACTGCTTTCACTTCAGCAAGGACATGGATAAGACACCACTATATACTGGGGTGAAGTTCCTGCCAGAAAGGAAAAATCTCTCTCCCTTATCCTCAGCAGCTTCAACTCTTGGGATACGCATTCACATTTTCCCAGGAGCTCACCAAGCCAAGGAAATTTGGCACAATATTCAAGAGTCCCTGTGGTGCACCCAGCAGGTTTTCTAATAACTGCTTTTTTAAGGATTTCTGCCCTCCATCATTAGGCAGCCACAGGCTTGGAGCAACTTGGGCTAGAGAAAGGTGTCCCTGCTCATGGCAGCGGGTGGAACTGGATGGGCTTTGAAGTGCCTTCCAACCCAAACCATGCAGTGACCCTCTGATTTTGAGAAAAAAACCATCATTTTGTAACATTAAGTATCAAAGAGTATCACTGTGCTTTTACCAGTGCAACAGGCAGAGACCTCAATCACTCAAAGGCTGCTGCACTTCAGAGGGTACCTCTGCAGGTTCTAAATTCGAGGGATAAGAGGAGGGAGTGACACTAACTGCAGCCCCAACATCAGAAAAAACAGTTTCAAGGCTATTTACAGCTCTAAAATTCACATATGATGTTACAAAATGACATAACCGTGAGAGGGACGAGAGAAAATGGCTTCAAGTTGCACCAGGAGAAGTTCATGTTGGATACTGGGGAAATTTCTTAATGGAAAGGGCTGTCCAGCCCTGGCACAGCTGCCCAGGGCAGGGCTGGAGTGCCCATTCCTGGAGGGATTTAAAGCCCTGTGGACCTGGCAGTTGGGGACATGGAGCAGTGGTGGCCTTGGCAGCAGTGCTGGGGAGAATGGTTGGACTTTATGATTGGCCTTAATGATTCCATGGGTTCTGTCATGCAGTAATTCCTGACCTAAAGTTACTCTGATGTTTAACAGATGTTTTCTCCCTCTAGCTGATTCAGAAGGCATATTCCATCTTAAAAAACCAGCTCTCCAAATCCAGCCATCTCTGGATTCAGAGGGAAAAAAGAATGAGGGAGAAGCTGTACTGAGCTGCACACGAGGTTTCAAACTGAATCCAAGTCTGTCTGACAGCTCTTCCAGCCAAATGCCTTCCAGTCTGGTCCCCGGCATATCCCAAAATCTGACAGCAATCCACGGTTTAAACCAGCCAATGCAACAGGCCGTGGTCACAAAAGTCCATGGGAAGGCATGGGGCCAAGAAACATCAGGAAAACTTAATTCTGGGCTTTTCACCTAAATTCCAAAGGGTTTGACATCACACAGGCTAAACAACTGAATCAGCGTATCAGACAGCTACACACACACTGGTATTAAATAATTGACGCTAACATGTATTATTCAGCTTGTTACCAGCAAAAGACTGCTGTACACAAAACTGCCGCTCCTAAACGTGAATGAGCTAATGGCAAACAAACAGGGAAACTGCAGAGGGGCAGGAATGTGGAGCCTTGTGTGAGCTCTGCCCAGCACGCCCCACTCACACCCTGATAAGGCGCTGCTGGAACCAGCCGGGGCAGGGCCGGCGCTGCCCGGGCCCAGCGCGTGCCGGGATTAGGTTTGAATCACGGAATCATTTACTGGAAAAGCCCTTCAAGGCCATCGAGTCCCAGCTGTGCCCGATGGCCACCTCGCCGCCAGCCCAGAGCTCTGAGTGCCACGTCCAGGCCTTCCCCGGACACCTCAGGGATGGGGACTCTAAAGCTCCCTGGGCAGCCCCTGCCAAGGCCCGACCACTTTTTCCACGTGGAAATTCCTGCTGCTGTCCACCCTGAGCCCCCCTGGCCCATCCTGAGGCCGCTTCCTCACGATCGGGGCCTCTCCGGGGCCCGGTCTGAGCAATAACGTCACAAACCGCGAGGCGCGGAGCGGCTCCGCGCGGGCCCGTTACTCGCCCAGCGGCCGTTCAACGCAGAAAACGGGGATACAAGGACACAAGAGGGATACCGGGATACATCCGCTCGGCAGAGTTCATCTCTCGGGCGGGCCCGAGGCCCGGCAGCGGCCGCGGGAGACGACGGGGCCGACACGGCGCTCGCAGCGCCCCGCGCGCGGCCCGGCCCAACCCCCGCCCGCCTCGGCCTCCCCGCCCAGCTGTCCCACGGCCCGGCCGCTCCCGGCCGCTGTCGGAGCTCCCCGCTCTCCTCCCCTTAGCCCCATGCGGCCGCAGCCCCCTCGCCGGTACCTGCCGGGGCCGCCACAGCCGGGGCCGCCACAGCCGCCGCCGCCGCCTCGCCCGGGCCTCACGCACCGCGCACGCGCACAGCGCCCCGCGCGCGAGCCCGCCTCCCCCGCGCGTGCGCGCCGCCCGCAGCGCCCGCCCCTTCCCGCCAAATGGCGCCGGTGCCTGAGGGGCAGCGCTGAGAGTCAGAGCCCGGTGCGGGAATATATAAACCGCAGTAAAGGGAATCAAATAAATATAGCCCCATATGGAAACGTCCTAGAATTATTTGCGTTGAAAGACACTTCTAAGATCACCCAGTCCCACTGTCCACTCAGCACTGCCACTGTAGCCCTTAAACCATTAAACCAAGTCACCCACACCATGTGTGTAACCCACACACACAGCAATTCCTGGGACACCTCCAGGGATGGGCACTGCAAACCTCCCTGGGCACTTCCAAGGCCTGAGCGCCCTTTCCATGGGGAAATTCCTGCTGCTGTCCACCCTGAGCCTCCCCTGGCCCAGCCTGAGGCCGTTCCCTCTCCTCCTGTCCCTGTTCCCTGGCAGCAGAGCCCGACCCCCCCGGCTGTCCCCTCCTGCCAGGGACTTGTGCAGAGCCACAAGGGCCCCCTGAGCCTCCTTTGCTCCAGGCTCAGCCCCTTCCCAGCTCCCTCAGCAATTCTCCAGCCCCTTCCCAGCTCCCTCAGCAATTCTCCAGCCCCTTCCCAGCTCCCTCAGCAATTCTCCAGCCCCTTCCCAGCTCCCTCAGCAATTCTCTGCCCTGGACATGCTCCAGCCCCTCCAGGTCCCCTTTACAGTGAGGGGCCCAGAGCTGATCCCAGGACTGGAGGTGCCTCAGCAGTGCCAGCACAGGAGGACAGTCATTGCCCTGCTCCTGCTGCCACACCATTCCAGGCACCTTTGGCCTCTTGCCCACCTTGGTATACCCGGGCTCACGTTCAGCTGCTGTCCCCAGGTTCCTTCAAGCAGAGCAGCTCTCGAGCCACTCCTCCCCACCCTTTTGCAGAAATACATCCCTGTACAGAAATAAATCCCTTTATTTATATATCCCATTGTGTCCCATGTCCAGTGTGTCCAGAGCCTGCAGCTGGGGAAGGAGAAGGGTCAGAGCTCATTCTCCTCACTGCCAAGCTCTGAGACAACAAATACTGCACCACTGCCTGTGGGGGTATAAAAATACATGTTTTTCACAAATAGCACTGCATCACTGTGTCCGGGATCCTCTTCCACTTTTCCACGTAAAGCACATTGCTGATGTGACCGTGTGGTTCTTCATGAGCAATCCAGGGACACGTCCTGGGCTGGAGCCTCTGAAGGGAAGCACAGATGGTTTGGAGCTGTTCCTCCACGGCCATGGGGGTGACAATGAGGGGAGCCAGCCCCACACTGCCCAGCACAGCTCTCCCAGCCCAGCCCAGCTCCCCAGGCTCTCCCAGTTCAGTTCAGCTCCCCAGGCTCTCCCAGCCCAGCCCAGCTCCCCAGGCTCTCCCAGTTCAGCTCCCCAGGCTCTCCCAGTTCAGCTCCCCAGGCTCTCCCAGCCCAGCTCCCCAGGCTGGCCCGGCCCCGCCCGGCTCCGGGGTCTCTCCCACAGCTCCCTCAGGCACCGCGGGCCAGCGCGGGCGCTGTTCCCGTCCGTGTGCCCGGCTCAGGCGGCGCTGGAGCTTCACCTGCAGGAGCGGCGATTTTACATCTCCAAAAGCTCCTCCAGGCTCTTGCCGATGTGCGGGGGCTGGGCCGCGGCGTGGGCGAGCAGGCCGGGGCCCATCTGTGCCCACAGGGCCCGGGCCAGGCTGGCCGCGGCCGTGCGGGGCCCGGGCACGGAGCCGCCGCTGGCCGGGCCCAGCAGGTGCCACAGCACGGGCAGCACCTTCTGCTCCACAGCACAGGGCTTCCGTGGGTACAGCTCCGGCACCAGCTCTGAAATATATCCATTAACATATCCATTAAAATTACACTTTAGATGGGATCCCAGCTTTGACAGGGGTACAGATCCAGCACCAGCTCTGCCATAAAATATTCATTTAAATTATAGTTTAGATGGGATCCCAGCTTTGACAGGGGTACAGCTCCGGCACCAGCTCTGCAATAAAATATTCATTTAAATTACAGTTTAGATGGGATCCCCAGCTTTGACAGGGGTACAGCTCCAGCACCAGCTCTGCCATAAAATATTAATTTAAATTACAGTTTAGATGGGATCCCCAGCTTTGACAGGGGTACAGCTCCGGCACCAGCTCTGCAAGGCAGCAAACCAAGCATCAGGATAAAATCTTAATTTAAATTACAATTTAGATTGGATCCCCAGCTTTGAGAGGGGTACAGCTCTGCATCAAACAAGCAAGCAAGCAAGATAAAATATTAATTTCAGGATAAAATATTAACTTCAATTACAATTTCCATGTGATTCCCACCTTTGAGAGGGATTTAAAAGCACTTAAATCATCTCCTCAAACTGCTGCTGTACACAAGTTTGTTGTTGCAACATCAGCTCCCATAAAAAATACCAGATTTTCCCACAACCACTCCTTTTATCCTCTCCCAGGAGTTTACACAGTAGCACCAGTGCTGCTGATAATTACACTTTTCCATCAAGCTAAAAAAACTAAAATAAATAAAGGGGGTTTTAGGCCTTTTTTTTTTTTTTTCATTTAGGATTCTCATAAGGACCTTTATTTCTCACAGGGTAAGATCTGGTATTTCCAATTTCCCCTCTATCTCACAAATAAGCAGTAAATATTTAAGAAAAAAAGCAGCCTTATACTGTCAATGTAGAATCATAGAATGATGGAATATCCTGAGCTGGGAGGGACCCACAAGGATCACGAGTCCAGCTCCTGGGCCTGCACACACACATATAAAATACGTATAAAAAATAAAGATGTGTGTTTATAGGATGAAATATTTTCCCTACTTGGACAATTAAAGCACAGAATCATTTTGGTTGGAATAGATCCTCAAGCATGAATTCGGTGTTTCATTAGCAGATGTTTCCCTCTCTGCCAGAACAGCCTCCTCTGATATATAATACAAACCACTCCAAAAATCCTAGCAAGAGAGGGTCTGTTTAAAGGCTGTTTAACACCCTCAGAAAGCATAAATTTAGGGATATTTCAAGAACAGCCTGTCCATTGTGTTAGTGAGTTCCATTTCACACAGAACTGCTCTGAAAGTGAGCCAAGGAAATATTTGGTTCAAGCATACTTCCCGTAAAGGCATTTTTTAAACTTAAAACATGGAAATTCAGCCTTTCTCAAGGAATTCCTGGCTGGGAGGATGGGGAGGGGCTGGGATGGAATTCCCAGATTTGCTGTGGCTGCCCCTGGATCCCTGGCAGTGCCCAAGGCCAGGCTGGACATTGGGGCTGGAGCATCCTGGGACAGTGGGAGGGTGGGATGGGATGGGTTGGGATGGGATGGGATGGGATGGGATGGGATGGGACGGGACGGGAC